TTAATTTTTTATCACCTTCTACGGAGTTTATTCTCTTTTGCACATACTATATATATGGGATATCGGGATTATGAGTTTATTTCTGCAGAGGGTCTGTTATCGATTTCGCAGGAAATCTGTTGGCTCCATTTCGATTTTAGGTCGCCAAGGGCAAATTCGGTAACGCTAGCCGAGAAAAAGTGAAGTTCGAAATACGTTTAGAAGCTTCAATAGACAATTAAGTATTTGGTTTAAACCTATGTTGTTGATAGTAATGCATAATTTTTGCTAATGACGATACAATTATTAGTTGAAAATAACTAACTAATTAAAATTTTTTTAATGTTTTTAAAGCTGAAAACAACTAATTGAAACTAATTTTCCTGAATTAACTAGACGCGAAATTAACTTTCAGGAATTATTAAAGTTATTGGGTAGAAGTTTAACTGAAAATATACATTCCGTATTATATATATATATTTATACAGTACAAAGTCTGAGGTCTGGACTCGTCGGGACTTTGGCGATCCCAGATTTGAGATTTTTTCGGATATTAGATCATTTTAAATCTACTAAAATGTCACGTAGAAATTATAAAATTGAAAATATGAAATCATGATTTATGAAATGAAGCATTTATGATTTAAAGGGTATCAAAATTTACAAAAGAAAAGAGCTTAATATTTATGTTTACTTTATTAAACATTTCTTTCAATGTGAGTTATTTGATTTGTTTTCTCTGCTAATACTTTAGACTAATACTATAGACATATAATTTCTTGTTCAGTTATTAAGTTCCATTGTTCAAGTCCTATAATTGCTGTGTCGAGAATTCCGAATAACTTGTCAATTAAAATTTTTTCTCGTTCAGTAACCTCTCTGTTACTTTCTTCACTATCGGTAGCTGTATTTTCTGGATTTAGAACCATACTACAGATTTCGCCCTCCGTTAATTGATTAATGATTGGGCATTGTCATCGCAATGAAAAACTTCTGTTTAACTTCGCTAAATTCTGCCGCCTTTATGTGAATAACAAATCAGTTATTCTTAATTCAAATAGCACTAAATATAATCGTTTGTCCTATGAGTATCATTAACAAAATCTATTTTTAGCATAAGGAAAGAAATTTCTGCTAAATCTTCCCTTGTCAACATTTTAGCGCATTAAACTTAAATCTGTAATCGGATAATACTCTGTTATTTGGCGTTGCTGCATGATTCATCACTCAAGTTGTCATCCGTTGATAAACATGCGGTGATGAAAGCAAAATACAATAAATAATGATTCGCGATTTCGGCATCAAGGATATACAATATTAGTTGGTGTAAAATTAACAAGTGTTTCGTTTTGAGATTATGCCAAGCAGATACGCAGCTATGGAGTCAAGTTACTAATCACACAAATTTATGCTAAAATAATTATTTCTTCAATAATGAGATATTTTATTTAGCACCAAACTGAGATTAAGAATCGGGATTTCCACATGTTCTTTTATGATGAGGAAAAAAATCTAATGCGCGTGCGTAAAGCATACCCCTTCCCTTCAAAAAAGCCCTAAAAAATTGGTTGGTGGTAGCTTTGAGGTCTGGATTTTAGATCATTCCAGATATTGGGTGTCCGGATCTCGGACTTTGTACTGTATATTTATAATATATATATATACATCTTTCAAAATATAACTACCAGTATGGATTCACTCTTTTAAAATAATTCTACTTTAATTAAACTTAGGAGATAATATAATCAATTTGTAAGGTCCCTCACTTTGAGATTCTAAGTTAATGTTGGAAGTGAGGAACCTAGGAACTGATAAACGAATAATCGCTAGAGTTCGAAGACAGGAAACAACAAGAGAGAAGGGTAAATAACCCTTTATTATTTCGATAAGAATTAACAAACTCCGCCTGGGAGTGTACAAATAAAGTCCGCACTTTGGACTTGAACTTAAAAGACTAAGAATTAAACTAAAACTAAGATTAACTAACTAAGTACAGCCAAAGCTATCAAGGTTCAATGAGAGTTGGCCCCTTAACCTAATTTACTACGAAGCTTAGCAAGGGCCTGAGTACGGCCGAGTGTAAAACAGCTTTCAGAGAGAGAGTGAGCGGCCAAAAAGGCAGACGCGCGTAGTTCAGAAACTCTGTTTCTCTCTGTCTCAGTAAGTAACTTCGTGGTTTAAATACCGCTTCTTCTCATTAAATATTCAGCAAATTCCAAAACTACGTTCTCGCCGGAAGTAGTAAGTTGAAGTTAAGAATTTAACAGGAAAGGAACTTAAAATTTAACTGTTAATAAAATTAACATAATCCTTACAAATTAATCAATATTGTTTAGGAAATAAATTATATATATATATATATATATATATATATATATATAGTAAAAAAATGTATATTTTCACTATTCAAGTATTCACTGTGACAAGTATTCTTATCTAGTCACATGAATAGGCCTCTGTGGAAAGGGGCTTCTCTGTAAATAAAGCAATTGAAATTGAAAATTTAAGTGACTCATCATACATTTTTCAATGCACAGTATTTGATTACATAAAATTTTCTGGAGGTGTTCTTAATATCGAAATTAATAAAGAAATGTGATCAGCAGCAGCTTCTGCAAGAACTGGGGTTCGTTATTTAGAAGTTCAGTATTTAGAAGAACAAAAATCTTTAACTAAATCTGAAAATTCAAAGAGGAAAAGAAATATTATTGAGGAAGAAATTGATTATATGAAGCAGAGGAAAAAATTTCTTCAAAGGGACATTAAAGATGTTAATGAAGAAGTAGATGCTTTAGCAGATGAAGCTGAGACCAGCAGGAACATTGGTTTGGTTTATTATATTACAGCAAAGACTCGAGGGCTATCTGCCTAAAGGGAGGGATGCCTTCGTGGAGGACTTTCTAAGGGAAAATGGCTCGTATACTTATTACACATGGGGAAAACCACGAAAACGCCCATGCAGCCAGCCCGTTCGCGGGATTCGAACCTCAGACCGAACTACCCAGTGTTCAGCGACTTACCCGCTCGGCCGCTGGTGGGCTCGCAGGAACATTGATTTGTTTATCAAAGCAAATGAACTTAGAAGAATAGTTAAAGAAAAAGGAAATAGACATAAATAAATTAGATGTTAAAATAGCTGAAAAGATTTCAGATTTAAAAAAAAAAAAAAAAAAAAGCACAAATGTTTTGTATCTTTTATTGTACAGTTTATTATTCTAGTATCTTTCAAAAAACCAAGGAAATAAATTGTATGTTTACAAATCAGTTATTTTAATCTGCAAAATATTCTTACATTGTGATTATTAATAGTAGTTGACTGTGTTTAAATAAATATCAAATAAGTTAAATAATAATCATGTAAATCTCTAAAATAGTGACTGTTATTAGTGTAAAATACACTTATACATGTTTTTCAAGAAATTATGTTCCTAATTTAATGTTATCTACTTCATAACTTGTAGGGAGTTAGTTTAATTTTCAAAATTGTTTTATGGTAAGTATTAAATTGAATTTAATAATAGTGCATAATACACACTTCTGTTAGTTTCTTAAAGTGAAATTACAAGCATGAAGTCAGTTGTATGGATAATTGCTTTATTCTATTCATTTTTTTGTTTGCTGATAGGTCCTTAATTTTTTCTTTGATGGTCCTTAAAAGTCCTTAATTTTCATGTAAGGAAATGTGTACGAACCCTGTATGAAGCAAAGAAAGTATTGTAATCGCAAAAAATTTCTGGTATCGTATTTCAATGAAAATATCCATTTGAACGATGTTTCTGCATAACATCTATATGTACAAACTAGTAAGCTAGAATTAAAGCATCTATGCATACATACTTACTCTGTTAGCCGGCGTGATAAGCTCAATTTTTTATTTTTATATGTTGGTAAATTGTGCATTTTTTGCTGTAAAAGTGATTAAATTATTTTGTTCTTATACTCCTATGAAGAGTTTTATGCCTTTAGTTAATCTGTATGCAATATTTGTAGAATTATCAACAGCTTAAAAGTTTAAGTGTCGCTAAGCCTAACAAAGTCGATATTTCTTTACATTTGAAATTCTTAGTAGAATAGGGAATTAAGTAAGGTGTACCAACTTCAATGTCTTTCTGCCCAGTGGGTCAGAAAGTTAACTTTCAATTTTGTGCGGCAAAATTTTTGTCTTCGTTTCAGCAGGCAGAATTGCTTGATTTTGTGTAGAAACTCTTAATTTTAATTATAAAAGCTTTTAAAACTTTTTTAAAGCTGTATTTGTTGTTTTATGTTTTTCTCTGTAATGTATACAATTTTTATGTTATGTATGTATGCAATTTTTAATGAAGATATGTTGCGTTTTTCTGTATTTTTGCCTTGCTACGAAATGAAAACAGAATTAACTGATGGCAAAATATATCTCTAATGAAATTTGAGAAAATAAGTGTAACTAAAATGCAGCAAAAATTTGTATAATTTAATGCCTTACAAGGAAGTCGTGTGGTGCCCACATCTGATTTTTTATTATTGCTGTTTTACGATTTTGAATTCTGATACTTTTCTGAGTCATTGTATCCAGAATGCTTTTGTCTGATAAAATACTTCGTTTTCCAAGTTTAATTTGTTTATATTTTAAAAACTTTGAATAGCAGAAATAATTTCAGTATTTAATTCTTCTAGCTTTCAATAGTTATTCTGTTTCTAGACATGACTTTTCACAGCTAATAGCTTTAGCAGTAAATTAGGTTTAGCAATAAATTTCAACCTGAAAGGTTTTAAAGTTTTCATCCTTTTATAGAAATTCTTTCAAGCATTTGATGGATAATCCACAAAATGAATAATTTGCATACAGATAATGAAGAGTACAGCATACACTTTTTAATATCAAATAAATTATTGTTTCAGTTTTATATACATATATGTAGATAGATAGATAGATTAACATATGTATTTAATGATATGTAACTTTTTTATTATTTGCTCTAAGTGTTTAATTTCTTTTTAATGGAATTGACTATGATTTTTATTTCCTTTCATTCTATATTTAGACGATCCAAACAGTAACTTTCCACGTCAACAACTTCAATATCTGAAAGAATTAGGTTGTGGATGGTTTGGTCGTGTGGTAGAAGGAGAGGCCTCACAGATATGCAATAATGAAGAAAAAACATCAGTTGTTGTCAAAATTCTTAGAGAGGAAGCATCTCCTTCTGAACATCTGCATTTTTTGCATGAAGTGAGACCATATCGGTGAGCAAAAGAAATGTTTAAATAAATAAAGCCATGATTAAAAAATTTTAAGTATGTGTAAGAAAATAATTCAATTGCAATTGAAAAATAAAATAAAAACATTGTTTGGTGCAGTTTTCATAAAACAAATTGCTGCTTATTTAAAATACACAAATGAACAAATGTAAAGTGTAGCTAATGCCTCACTTGTGGCAAAGTGGTTATGACCACTGGCTGGCATGGGGCATTCCCTAAGAAAGCCCAAATTTTCGGAAACTGCCATGAGAAAGAGGCATTTTCTTGATTTTCCTTTCAAAAGGCCTCTAGTACTTTATACCTGGATTTATGTACTTTTAATATATTGCCTTAAAAATTGTATATATTTCAAGATGCACATATATGTACATTCTTACAGACATCACAAAAATTATTCTAGCTCTTATATGTAAGGTCTTGCCACTGAGAGGGATTATTACTGATGATTTGACCTGGATTTGAACCCAGGTGAATAGGCTGCCTTTATGGGTATTTTTCATAGTTTTCATCTTGTGTAACATATATATACAAACCAGTTTCCTTTCCAAGTCCTTCATGGAGGCATCCTTTTTTCTTAAGCAGAGCTTTCTCTGTGTTTAAATAACTTAAGCTAACCTTACAATCTGATAGCTATTGGATTTATATACTTTTAGTATAAAGAGCTTATATTAGTAGAATTCTATAAGCTTCAACTATGAATCACTGTATGACTATCAATTGGAACAATTGAATGCATTCTTATTTATGATATGTAATGTATTCTAAGACTATCAGCTGTGGTTCCAGATATCTTTGTTCTGTGGAAGTGGCTGTATTAGGTTATATTCAATACTAATGTTTTAAGAAATTTTGCTGATTTTCAGTGATGCTCACAACAAAAAGATTCATTGTTTACATAGAAAGTGTTGTATTTATAATTATGTAAAATGATTCACTGAAATTGCATAATTAATTTTAAAAATGAGTGATTAAAGTAAAAATGATTTTACTCACTGATAGGGATTTGATGCATCCTAATGTTGTTCGTCTTCTTGGTCGATGTCTAGAGTCTGATCCTTTTCTTCTTGTCTTGGAGCACACTGTAAATGTATGTTTTTTTTAATTTATTTTTTTATTTTAAAATATATTATAATTACTCTCGAAATAAAGTATTATTGTGAGAATGTTTTAATGTAAGAATAGATTAAATTCTATTTAAGCTAAATAATATCTTGCTTAATTTGCTGTTTAAATTTCAGGATTTAAAAGCATATCTAAAGGAACAAGAGCATAAAGATTCACTTTTAAATAATGGACTTTTGCTGCAGATGTCTTGCAATATAGCCTCTGGTTTGCGATATTTGCATGAGAATGGTTTTACTCATGTGTAAGTAAAGGTTTACATTTAAAAATAATTTGCTTGAAAAATGGCTTGAGAATTTATTTTAGAACATATTAAATTTTTACACTGTAGTTAAGTTTCATTGTAAATTTTCTGTAGAATCATTAACAGTTTTATACATTTTAAATTTAATGAAATACTAATACTTTCAAATAATCTGCTTAACATACACCTTTTTTTACATGGTCTATGACCACCATCAAATTATTTTACTGGATTTGTAAAGCTTCAAACCAGGTAAGGAGTTGCTGTGAGTTCCTCGCATTGGTTATCAGTACTTGTTATTATCTAGTGATGTTAGCTTGCAGAGTTATTTGTGTAATTAGTATATTCATAGATTCAGTTGTTATTATAATTATTTTTTTGTGATTTTCTATTCTCGCCTTTATACACTCCTTTCCCCATTTTCTTATTTGATCTAATGATACCAGTCCTTCTGCGCATTTTATATCAAACGGGTAGAAGGTGTTTTATTAGTATTTAGAAACGAGGATGCCATGTTGAATAGTTTTATAGTAAGTTTTTTTTTTTTTTTTTCTTTTCTTAAAAGGTATCAGAAACCCCTATACCGACAATGTTAAATTGACCATTTTCGATGTACCTTTTCTCAAAATCTGCTGTAGATACAAGCTTGAAATTTTTTCTGTAATTAAAGTATACCTATCTGATTATACTGAAACAAGCTTTTGAAGCATTTTGAATTTTAGAGTAAATTTCAGAATATTTTGTTAGGCATATTAAAATTTAGCACTTTTCTCACACAAAAAAGTTTTAAAAACATTTTTCTAAGTTTATTACAAAAAGCTCATTTCAGTAAATATTAGGGAACCTAATAAATAAGCCATAAAAAGTTTAGATACCTGTGAGCAGTAGTTCCTGAGAAAAGGTACATCGAGTATAAAAAAATCACGTTTGGAGAAAAACGTATTTTTATGTAAAAATCCTCATTGATCAAAAACGTGTTTCCTCATTGAAAAACGTGTTTTTATGTAAAATCGTGTTTTTATGACATATAATGAGGATTTATGTGTTTTTATGTAAAAATCCTCATTGATCAAAGCAGTAGATGACAAATTAAAACTAGGTGTTTTTAACAGTTCTAATCTTCATAGAAATTAAAGAATGGTTTTTTTAGAAAGATAAAAGAGTAGAGAATTTGAAAATACAAAAATCCGAAATCACAATTTTTTGAAGATTTTGGGGTTTCAATACCTGCAATACTGATATTTAATTTAATTCTTTAAAAATTCAATTTCAGGCATTTAATGCCTTAACTGCCGCGAAAATCTTAACAAGATTCACTCCCCAGTGCCACCGTTTTCTACACATGCATGTGTATGACGTATTATTAGGAGGAAAATAAGTATAAGTTTTGCTGTCTAAAAACTGTTTACTTTCGCAAAATAAAGAATTAAAGGAAAAATTAAAAATACAAAATTTAATGTTTAGAGTAAAAATATAATAAAAAAGATGTATAATAAAAAATATCCCCAGAATGGAGTTTCGATCAATTTATTTTTAGACCAGTAAAGTAATCAGGTTTCAGTGTTATACCTTGCAAAATCAGTATACCTTGGAAAGTGTAGAGGCAGCATAGGCAAGTTTTTCATATCAAATCATACCCAATGTTGAGCATCTTTCAGAGAATAGTTACAATCCTCTTCTTGTGATGTAATATATCATGTTTTGAGGTGGTTGATTCTGAAGATGACAGAAAGTAATCATCTATTTCACTGTCGTTCATAGTAATAAAGAAAGCATCTACTATAAACAAAAACGGAAGATGCAGAATAAAAAAAGTATGTTTTACTCAAATAGAAACACAAGCAATAACTGTGCAGTCAATTATGTTCACCCTTTCAGAAACATCACCTCTCAAATTCCCTCCCCCTTCTTCTTTAAAATAGTATCCTCCTTTGCATACTCTGTCAAGGTCATTGTGGTGTTACATTCCAAAGCTTTGTGAATAATTTTACTGGTAACAGTGTAAAGCAAATTCTAGCATTTGGGAAAGGTGTATATATATATATATATATATACACCTGGGCAGTTAACACATCGGCTGAGCAAGGCTTGTGGCAGTTAAGGGGTTAATGGGTTAATTAATTGGAGAAGTGTTGTTATTTATTTATTGATGTTGATTTATTATTTGTATTTACTATATGTTCATTTTGCTGATTTAGAAGAACAAAAAAATTGTATTACGTAAGGATTGTTTATATTTCGATGATAAATATTAGGTACTTAATCTAAATTTTATTTTAGTAAGGATTCTCTTTTAAAAGGATTGATTCATTTAATTATGTAAATTATTTACATGTTGCTTATTTTTTGCTGAATTTATTATTTTTATGCATTGATTTTAATGCATTGTGACATTTTATATAACCATTTTAGATGTTTCAATAAAGTAAAACATATTTTTATTATGATGCTAATAATGCAATAATACCAAAAATTGTTCAAAATCCGGAAAGTTGGATATGCAGTATCTTGATTAAGTGAGACCATAACCTGTTCAGTTATTCAAAAATTCATAATTCTGGTATATAAATCAGATATTTAAAAAAATTTTGCTGTATATAAATGATTGAAATCTTTTTTTTTTTCATTATTATATTTTAACAAAAATTTATATGGTAAAAAATTTTATTTTTATAAAACAATTTTTTTGATATAATCAAGTAATGAAATTATTTTGTGTTTATTGTTTTGTAATATTATTGTTTGATATAGCACTCAATTATTTTTATTTCAGTTAAAATTACAATTATTTAGATTATTGAAAAACACATGAGGGCTTCTCTGCTTAAAGGAAAGGATATCTTTATGGAAGATTTTTTTTTAATTTCACGTAAAAGAAAGCAGTGAAATTAATTTTTATTTACATAGGCTCCAAAACTTTATTTTCAAACCCATGCAATATTTAGATACTGCACTAAAACTATATTACTTACAGTGTCTCACATTTGTTTTCATACACTTGTATTTTAGAAATTGCAGTTCAACCACTCGGCCTCCAAGGCCACTCCGCTGGGTTAGTCTCCTCTCCGCTGATGGGAAAGGGGGGAAAAACTAGCCTCATTTCGAGGCGCAGATCCAACATTGCGAGCTTCCTATCCCTCGACTTTTCACTTTCATAAATTAACTCTTTGTAGAACATTTCCCTGCTAGAGATGTCACAGCAAACGGTATCCCGGTTATGCCAATACTGCACGTGGCACAGTCATCAGAACATGTGGTGAAAACATCAAACATGTGTTCAAACGCTTGGGCGAAAGAATTTCGGGGTGCAGTAATCCCCAGATAAGGAATTCTGAGAATGAGTTCCAAGCTGATGGTTTGGATGTGAAAAATTTTTTTGCAGAACCAGTGAATAGTTTTTTCAACACAATGAACGAATTTAGGACATTAAAAATTAAACTATTACATAACAATTAAATTCATTAAAAATGTCAGTACAATAATAAATTGTTTCTTCAGCAGAAATTAAGTATACACACTCATTATCCAGATTGAGTTTCACTTACTATTGATTTACCTTACCACCAGTCAGAAAATATGAATTCGATCAATTTTAATAGAAAGAGGGGTAAAAATTAAGTGAAATTAAAAAAATTAACACACAAAAAGTGCAGCAAACAAGGCTTTAAAATAATCAAAGTTAAAAGTTAAACAACCTTAAGGGTCAAAAACAAAAAGGACAAAACCCAAGTAAACTTAAGTCCCTAAACTCAAATTATAATTAAACAACTTCAACATTAGAAAACTGTTTAAGCAACCAAACCTAAATTTAAAGTTTACAAAAGTTATAGTTTAAACTTTCAACCAACTTTAAACAACTAAAACAAAAATTAATAACTTCAATTACTGAAAAAACTGAATTAAGTAAGCGAAACTAAAGCTTGAAAATAATAACAATTAATACATAAAATATCCATCTAATCAAGAGGGGCACGATTACAGTGGTGCCAAGAACATGCCAATTGGAATGTGTCTGACTGATGCAATGTCATGTTTACTGATGCTCTGGAGCCAGATGACAAGCGTATAAGGATAACGTGTGAACAACGAACATGCAATCAGTCCCAAAACATCATGCATTCCGAGGCGGAAGCATTATGGTGTGGGCAGGGATTTTATTAGGTTACCGCACCGATCTGCACATCTTTAAACGGGGTTCTTTGACTGTTGTTCGGTATCGAGATGAAGTCCTGGAACCCATTGTGAGATTGTATGTTGCAGCAGTTGGCCCTACTTTTGTTTTAATGGACGATAATGTACGCCCCCATAAAGCTGACATTGTTGGTGACTACCTGGAGAGTGAAGGGATTGCACGTATGGCGTGGCCAGCATATTTTCCCAACCTTAATCCCATTGAAATTCTCCAGAAAATCTTTGGGATGCTCTTGGCGGTGCTGTATCTTCACGTTTTCCACCTCCAGCCACTCTTATTGAGCTGGAAACTGCTCTACAAGAAGAATGGAGATTGCTTAATTCTGTGGTGGTTGACTACCTAACTGAAAGCACGGTCACAAGGTGTAAACTTTGTATACAGATGAGGGGGGATCACATACCCTATTAATATCTTTTTTTTTTTTTTTTTCATTTTATGCTGTTTATTTTCACTTTATACATAATTAAGTCTGCAGTATGTCATTATCTGATAACTTACAAAAATTTAATATTGTTTTCATTTCTGTATATAATTATTGATTTTGTTTATGCATAAATATATATGCTACTTTTCTGCCAAATTTTGTGTCTATCAAAGCAGTATTTGTTGATTTTTTTGCATTTTACATCTTCATGCTTAACTTTTTGAAGTGAGTGTACATTAACAATTTCATATCTGAAGTGAACATGGCAAGACACTACAAATCAGTGACAAGTTCTGTTAGAAATTAAAAAATTTTTTAATTTAAATTCATTTCAGAGATGGTAAAAGCATTTGAAATATCCATAATATCATTTGTGTTAAGCATTTAACTATTTTTGATGTTGTTTAAATAATGAAAATTGTGTGGAACTGTTCAAAATGGACTGAAGTCTCGAACACATTCCAAGATTTATCCTATGAAGAATGAAGCAAAACCCAAAAATTAATGCTGCAAAGTTTGCATAGGATTTAAAACTGTTTTCAATAAAAGTTAACCCTGAAACTCTTAGAAGAGTCTTTAGGCCAAATGGATACAATGGGCAATAATCAAGAAGGAAATTTTCATCAAAAAGAAGACAAGGAAAATATGCTTGGCATTTGCACATCCCATGGTCAGCAAATATTAATCATAATGGAACAGTGTTATGTTTTCAGATGAGTCAAAATTTTAATACATTTGGGTCAGATGGATGAACTATTGTGGAGCAAAACCTGAATGAATGCTTGAATACTAAATTTCTCTTGCCTATTGTTAGCTCAAAACTTAATGGTTTGAGGAAGTTTCAGTGCTTCTGGAATGGAAAATTATGTTTGTATAGAAAATAATATATGTCAGTATAAAATTACATCTGTATATATTCTTAATGAAAACCTGAAAGCATCTTCAAGAAAACTTGGAATGTAAAATACAGTCAAGTTCAATCAGGATAATGGTCCTAAACATACAAACTTGAACATTCGCTTGTGGTTATTGTTCTTAAGTAATCAAAAATTTTCTGTATTCTCCAAACTCAAATCCTGTTAAACATGTATGGTGAGAGTTGGTGAAAAGGCAACAAAATATTTCTCCAAAAGTGCTATTAAAAACAATTCTTATGAATGAATGAAAAAAAAAAGGGGGGACCATTCTTACAGAGAAAAATTGATGAAGCTATGCCAAGGTGGTGAAAGCATAATTTTAGCTATAGGATATCTAATGAAATATTGAATGTCATATTATTTTCCTGTTTTTATAAATATAAATGCTTTGCTGAAAGTATACTTATGTGAGTTCATTTTCTGAACTTTTTGACTAAATTATTTCTTTTTGCCAAAAACATTTTGAAAGCAAGTGGGTTTTAAGAAAGATGATCATTAGTATGTCTGAAAGAAATGTGATCATTTTTTTTTATCTTAAGCAATGTAATTACAAACAAAACTGAAAAGCCAGCAAATTAAAAAAAAAGTTGATTAATAATGTATCTGTAAGTAGTCATTTTGCTTTATCTTAAGTAACTGGTATTAAAACTGAAAAATGCAAGTGTCCGGAAACAAATGTGAGCTGCTGTATATAAGAATTAAGTATATATTATACTATTTATACTATAATTAGATATTGTTCTAAAACACATAATTATGATTTTTATTTAGATAAATAAAATTAACCATGCCTTCATGGTGTATAATTGAATTTTTATCTAAATCTATTTAATATTTTTGTAAGATCCAGTTATGGCCAGTGTTGTGTCGTGACACTGTTAATGACCACCTGGACGAATCTTTTTCGTTTATTTAACAAAACACTTATTAACTTATAAACATTTCTTACAAAAAGGAAACTAATTAGAAGGAGGATCAAGCACTACAGATTTCTTAAGAAATAAACAATGTATTATATTATCTTTTTGTATTGTTTAAATTTACAATAAAAGTAAAAGTACATGAATAAATTAAGGATACTTTTACTTAATTTGGAAAGAACAGAAGATCTAGTTAATCGCAGTTCCATAGAAGTGAAGTTTTACCATACTTTACACGTTTAAAATTATTTATTTTCATGCTGTCTGTTAATAGGGAATGTTTCAAGATTCAGTAATATTTCCTGTGTTGATATTGCTTGCATGTATAGTTATTGATATTGCTTGAAAGTGAATTGATTGTTTTTCTCTAATCAAAGGGATCTTGCTGCCCACAACTGTTTTGTATGCCCAGATCTTAGTGTAAAGATTGGAGATTATGGTATCTCATTCAGTCGCCACCGAGTAAGTCTTTTCCATGTTTTGAGTATTTGAAAATGTCCAATATTAAGAAGTCTTTATAATTATTATGATTACTTTTCTGGGATATAGAGAAGTTATATATTACATGTTAATTAATATTTTGAATTCTTTAATGCTGTATATGAAGTTTAGGACTCACTTATATATGTATATACAAATATTACATAATATTTAATTTTTAAAATCGGTCAGAAATTCTTACTGTTAAAGTATGCTTGTGAATATATTTACAAATTTTACTTTTATAATGAAAAGATTTTATTTAAGAAGTAAGAGTGTAATGGCAGTGAAATTACAAGTGTAATTAAAAGCAGTTTCTCTGTGGGATTAGAGCAACTTGGCGCCAGAAATTTTCCTTAATAGTCTCATTAAGGGTTGGGGGGGGGAATGACTCCCTATAGAATGATACAAATGTAGAAAGAGAAAAGTTAATGAAGCATTGATCTTTCACCACAAATATGTATAAATTTGAACAATGTAACTTCTGACATCTCACCAGTGGTCAAGTGGATAAAATGCCAAACACACTATGCTGAAAATTAAACCATGATTCAGATCATGGCAAATGGAATAGCTGCATGGGTGTCTTCTGTAAAGTCATCATTTCCCTCAAGAAGTGCTTCTTTCAAAAATTATCCAAATCAGGCATTTAACTTTTGCTTACATTTGCTTACAGTGGTGAATTTTTCAAAAGTATAATATTTAAATAATAAAACATTTTATGAATCAACCAGCATTTGCTGATTTTTGCTTTGTGATGTGAATTTTTAATTCTATAGTTTGCGCTGCATAATATGATCATACTTGTCCATGGCTATTTTGACAACATTAACTAAATGATAGCATTAAATAATAAGAAAAAAAAAATCCTTTAAAATAGCAATAAAGTTTAATCAATTTAAAATGAAAATATTAATCAACATATAAGTAAGTATTTTCATAGCATTTTAATCGGGAAAATGCAAAAGTTTATTTTATGAATTGTTCGTAACATATCTGGTATACCCCAGTCTTAATATTCAAAGATATCCCTCATTTGAAGATAATGTGTCAACATAAAATTTTAAGTTAAGCAAAAAAAAAAAAAAAAAAAAAAAACCCAACTTTGAATGCTTCCAGGAATTTAAAAAAGGGGGGAGCAGTTATTCCAATTAAGTATACTTCCAACTAAGATTCCTTTTTTACTTAATTTGAAATGGTTGGTTGACATTGAAATTAAGCTGCATGGTGACTTTACCTCCCACTTGGTGACATTTCTCTGTTACTTGGCAATTTTATGACTTATTTGGTTCATAAAACCTATTCTGCAATAGTTTGGTCTTAGCAACTGAATTTTTTTATCACAATAGATGATGCATTTTTCCATGTTTTCTAATACAAACGAGCAGGAGTTTAGTAAATTAATAATAATATCCAAATTATAGTATTAACATGATCACATTAAGTGGCATCTAATATTTAGTATTTTAATAATAATAAAGTTTTGGGAATGAATTTGTTAAGGAAGTGCCACTTGTCAGATGTGTGCTGAAGCACCAGATGTAATAGAATATTTATATCATGTCATGGACAGCTGTAAAATGATAATATATGTAACGTTTAATGTGGGCAATGTTAAATTTATGGTGTTCTCTGATATTTTTAAGTCAAAACAGGTTACTGTGTATGTGAGGGGAATAGCAGTTTTAATTTACCCTTGTATAAAATAATCTGTTTTTGCTTTAAAAAAAAATCAGAGAAATGCATTAATTTGGCATCATGCATAGCCTTGGTATTGTATACATTAAACATTATATATATGTATATCATATTCAGTATATGTAAGATGATTATTCTTTTTATGGAGTTTTATGTATCATTAGAGTTGCCACTGTCTAGATAAATATCACACCAACATTTATGTTTAGTACTGGGGCACCCCATTAGCAGAAAAGTACCTAATTTTTCAAATCATAGTTATTTCTAATAAATATGATGTCTATTATGTTGCTAACAGATTTTCTCCTGTAGTCCATCCAACTATTTTTTGTATCTTTTAAAGAAAAACTAAACAAAGCTATGGGAATATGTGATGTGTTTTTCCATGGCTTGGCAAGTGATAGCAAGTAGGGAGGGAAGCCTCTAGTGCATCCTAAGCTCAGCTATTTTCAGTACTTGAATGAATAATGTTTTTATCAAAGTACTCACTGAATAAATTGTAATGCATTTAATTAATTTTTTTTTAACTTTAAATTTGTATTCTTTGAATACATATAAGGTCAGATTTTTTAAAGCATATCATAACAATTACTGGAAATTGATTTTATCAAAAATCAGTTGATTTCCCAATATTGATATTATGTTGTAATATTCCAAGATATATCACTATTGCAAATATTAATTTACTGGAAAACCAGGACATTTTCACCAGAATAATGCTCCATGTCATAACAAAGTGTTTGATTTCTGGCTGGTTTAAGAACATGATAGATTTTTACACCACAAGATTTAAAAATCCCATTTAGCATCATAGAAAAAATAGGAAGTGTTGTTAACTTGTGAAGCTAACTGCCATCTAATGTGTAGCAGTTTGTATTTTTCATATAAATTCTGATAAAATGTGTTAGACTCTGCCCTTGTTAATTTAAATTTTGTCAGCACGATTTTGCATAAACTATTGCTTGTATGGGATAATCCAGAAGCTCGATACATTTTCATAAATTTATATTTAATTAAAAATAAATTATAATGAAGTTGGTACAAAAATATATGAAACTGAGGAGGTTCATGTCTGTAAATATTTTAGTTACTTCAATATCTACTAGATGATACTGCACCTTGAATTATATTCACTTATTAAAATATATGAATATACTGGAAATTATAATATGGAATGTATACTGGAAATATTAATACTCAGTACTCAAGATTTTATGAATTATATGCACTTATTTAAGTATAGGCTTCGCTTTTGAACTATTACTATCATAGGCCTGTGTGATATTATACCATGGCCCACCAGCGGCCGAGCGGTAAAGATGCTGAACACTGGTAGTTCGATCCGAGGTTCGAATCCTGTGAACGGGCTGGCTGCATGGGTGTTTTCATCATGTTTTTTTTTTTTTTTTTTTTTTTTTTTTTTTTTTTTTTTTGTTGGGATTACAGTGGCAAGAAAAAAAGAATTAGATTTGAAAAAAATTGAGTTAGCAAATTACACTCTTCCTCAACTGATTTGATCCAGCTTATTATTTTTTGCAGGCTATTATTATTACAGTTGTCGTATAGAAAATAAAGTTTGAATTTTCAATTATATGAAAAAGACTTTCTAATTCTGAAATTGTAGCAAGATCTACATAGTGAAAGCATAGTTGGAACTTGCCTTCTAAATCAGCTTTGGAGCATGAAAATGGCATTGGCGCAAATTGGGCTTAAGAAAGTGGGATTTCAAAATTAGGCAAATTAACAGTCTTATTTTGATGTGGATTTTGAATTCTATAGAAGGCGAAATTTTTCAATTAATGGAATTTATAGAAGAAATGTAGAAAAGTGATAATAAATTATAATGGTATAGCATAATTTTTAAATTGCATTGAGAATGCTGTAGTCAGCAAACAGCTAACTGATGGCAAAATCTGTAGTATGGTTTTAAATCCAGAAAATACGAGGGCTATCCAGAAAGTAGATTACGTTTTGGAATAAAAAAATAAACAAAGTATAGGAAACAAATTTTATTATATACAGATGAAAGCCACACTCAAATACTACTTTTCTACATAGTCACCATACAAATTAAGGCATTTATCGTAGCGATGTACGAGCTTGGAAATTCCTTCGTCGAAAAATTCGGCCGCCTGCGCCTTCAACCACTTCGTTACCCTCTTCTTGCAGCTGTGCGTCGTCATCAAAACGCTGCATAGCCAGCCACTTCTTCATTGCTGGGAATAGGTGGAAGTCGCTCGGTGCCAGGTCGGGACTGTACGGCGGATGAGGAGACCAACTCCCACTTAAAAGATTCAAGAACTTTACGAGTGACATTTGCCGTGTGGGGCCGGGCGTTGTCGTGAATCAACAAGATCTTAGAGCTCAACATTCCTCTGCGCTTGTTTTGAATTGCTCTTCTGAGTTTTTGGAGAGTTTGGCAATACCTTTGAGAGTTTATTGTAGTGCCTCTTTCCAGGAAGTCCACCAAAATTACACCTTTTCTGTCCCAAAAACAGTCGCCATCATCTTCCTTGCCGACATTGTTTGCATGCATTTCTTGGGTTTTTGGGGAGAACTTGTGTGCCCCCACTGCATTGATTGCAATTTCGTTTCACAGTTCACATGTTTCACCCATGTTTCGTCACCAGTAACGATGCGATCGAGTAAAGAGTCACCATCCTTATGGTAAGCGTCCAAAAAGTTCAACGCTGCAGCCATTCGCTGATTTTTGTGGTCCTCTGTCAAGATTTTTGGAATCCATCTTGCACAAAACTTGTGGTAACCAAGCTTTTCGCTGATGATTTCGTGCAACAAACTTCGCGAAATTTGTGGAAAACTCAAAGAAAGTTTCGTTATTTTGTGAAATTTCGATTTTCACGGACTTTAGCATCGACTTTTTCGAGAAGTTCGGCGGTCACTATGCTGGGTCTCCCACTTCGATCTTCGTCTTCGTCGTGAACATTGGTTCGGCCATTTTTGAAATCTTATGACCCACTGACGCACTCCACCTTCAGTGATAATGTTGTCCCCATACACTTCACGAAGCTGCCGATAGATTTCTATCGGTTTACAGTTTTTTGCAGTCAGAAACCTTATTACTGAGCGCACCTCGCAGCTCGCGGGATTTTCAATTAACGCAGACATTTCAAACCGTCACAGTATCTGAACGGAGCACAGCACGAACCTCTCACTAGCACGGCTAGATGCAGACTGAGCTGCGCAACGCTCTGACCCCAAGATGGCCGCGCTAGCCCCGCCCCTAGCGGACACAGACGGAAACGTAATCTACTTCCTGGATGGCCCTCGTATTTCTACTGATAGTGATGAAAGTAATAAAGAGATTTTTGAGAATGGAAAGATTTTGAATATTGAGTGGGAATTTTTGATGCAACAAGGACTTGAATAATGAAACTTTACAAATGAACAAAAAATTATGTCTGTCTATAAAATTAAAGAGAAAATATTAGCCCCCCAAAAGGAAACAACTTTAACAATTTAAATAGGGGGAAAAATTATAAAACAAATAAATATTGAGTTTCCCTTGTAAATTTTTATTCTTGAAGATCATAAACAATTGTTTTATATTTTTAATTTCATAGTAGCTACACATTATTATACTAGATATGAATTGGTGGTCTAAACTCTGAAAATTTCCAGATATCCAGAATTGCCGAAGTCCTTACAATCCCAGATCTCGGACTTCATATTGTATAACTAAAAACTGCTGTAATAAAATTCCTTAGAAGACATTACGGGTTTATGAATTTCTAGACTAATTGTACTACTTTACGTTGCAAATTTCTTTCTCGTTTACTGAATTTTCAGTCACTTTTGTAAATTAAGAATTTAGTATCTATTATTAATAAGCATCTTTCAGATTATTGGTAGATTCACATGTACGTAGGCTATTCAGAAAGTAAGGAACGTTTTGGGATTAAAAAGAAATTATGTGCAAGAAAGAAAATTATTATAAACATTAGAACGAGCGACTAAAATTCTACTTTTCTACATAGTCACCAAACAAATTGAGGCACTTATCATAGCGGTGGACAAGCTTTGAAATTCCTTCATCATAGAATTCTGCCGCCTGCGATCTCAGCCACAGTGACATGTACCCGCAGCTCCTTGTCATCATCAAAGCGCTGTGTTGCTAGCCAGTTCTTCATTCTTGGAAACAAGTCAAAATCACTAGGTGCAAGATCAGGACTATAGGGCAGGTGAGGGAAAACCTCCCATTTGAATGAATTTAGGAGTTCTTGAGTACGGTTTGTCGTGTGAGGTCAAGTATTGTTGTGCAAAAACAAAATTTTGGATGTCAACTTTCCTCGGTGCTTGTTTTGAACTGCTGTCCTAAGGTTGCGCAAAGTTTGACAGTACCGCTCAGAGTTTATTGTGGCACCATGTTCGAGAAAATCAATCAGAAGCACATCTTGCCTGTCTCAAAACACAGTCGCCATAATCTTCTTTGGTGACAAAGTTTGCAAACATTTTCTTAGTCTCTTGGGTGAACTTGTGTGCCCCCACTGCATGGACTGTAATTTTGTCTCACAATTCACGTGTCTCACCCACATCTCATCACCAGTTACAATTCGACCCAGTAATGAATCACCATGCCTGTCGTAGGCCTCCAGAACTGTTAAAGCTGTCCCCATTTGCTGACCTTTATGGTGGTCTGTAAGCAAGTTTGGCACCCATCTTGCACATAATTTGCGGTAGCCTAGCTTTTGTGTGACAATTTCAAACAACAAAGTCCGGGAAACTCCGTTATTGTGAAACGGAGGTTTTCACAAATCTTTTCATCAACTTTAGCGACCAGTTCGTCAGTCACAATGCTAGGGCGTCCACTCTTCTCTTCATCATGAATGTTAGTTCGGCAATTGCACCATTTCTGGGTTGAACTTTCACTCATTACGTCATACACTTCACACACTTGCTGAAAACCATATCACACACCGCACCTCATAACTGGCGGGGTTTTCAATTGCAGCGCACATTTTAAATTTAAATATTGAAAAAACGGGAAGCGTAGAAATGTTCCCGCTGTGATGGCTGGATGCCGACTGAAATGCCGAGCATGCAGACACCAAAATATAAGTGATCGGTGCGCGCCTAGCGACGTCAGACAAAAATGTTCCTACTTTCTGAATAGCCCTCGTTTTAAAGTTTTTAGGAAACTAGTAACTTGAATGTTATTTTTATTTTTAGGAAGATTATTACTGTCTTGGTGACATTGCCTTACCTATCAGATGGTATGCCCCAGAAATATTGCTTTGTACAGATTCTACCATTGAAACTAAAGAAATCACAAAAGAGGCAAATGCATGGTAAGTCAAGTAATATACATGCACATGTAGATATATATGTGTAATAAAAAAGTATTTCAGTCAATAATAATTTTATAACATTATTAATTATTCAGTGAAATGTATTGAAATGAAACTAACTCATTCTGAATTAAGATTTCATCCTGAACATATGGCACTTTGCTTCTACCTTTGTTCTCATTATGTATATTTACTAAGATGCTGCCTCTCTTTCTTCCAATTGCAAAAGTGTAGCTGTTCTGGAATAGGTATGATTAATGTGCCAGTTTGTTTGTGGCCACAAATGTTTATTGAAATAAAGATGAATATTTAATTTGACTCAACTGCCAAGTTTCTGTTCATTATGGATCAACATTTATGCAATTAAAATTCCTACATCACTGCTGCTAACTCTGCTTCATTACATACATGTATGTAGAAATGGGTCTGTTCTCTGTCATGCCAGTTTGCCAATGAGCCAATTCACCATTGACATAATTTTTCCATGCCTATATTTTGGTTAACAGACAAAAGCCCACTGGACGAAAGCGCACACGACAAAAGCCTAGAAAAAAAAAAAGCCCACTATGATATTATGATAATTGCCCACGCGACAAATAACCACAGAGATGAAAGTATACATTGATAAAAGCCTACATTGATAAAAGCCCACATAGATATAAGCCCACGCTGATAAAAGGGGCTTATTTTTTTATTACTAAATCGTGTATTTATAATTTTAATTATAATAAATGGAGTACTCAAATCTGAATTTCAATGTTTCAAATATATGTCTAGTTTGTATTTTATCATTTCTTTATTTGTTTAATTTATTACATTGAAAGCAAACTTTATACTCTCTGATTAAGTGATTAGCTATAACGTTTGGATGATAAATCTGAAATTGCATTTTATTATTTATTTACTTATTTAACTTTGGTATGAGTATGTGAAAATGAAAAATATCATTGCGGAGTTTCTCACATGCCATTTTTAAGGTAATATGACTGAGATTAAATATAATTATGTTTCATTATTAAAACCATTAACTTTTTAATTAAAAACACTTGAATTTATTTTATTCCTTTTGCTTTCCTTTAATTCCTTTTGAGTTTGTAATATTAAAACAGTTAAGCACAAGCAAAACTTCACTAAGAGATATTTATTCTTTACTTTAGACTGAGCTTATTATCAAAGTTTAAACATATTTCTCACTGAAAGCTTTTTTGAATGTAACAATTATAATTTGGTGATTTTCTAGAAATAGTTTCTTTTCGACTTCAGAATAAATTAAAATTGTCAGCTGACACCCTGTCAAAAAAATGAATTCCAAATGTAACCTCTTAATCTTTAAACTACAGCAATTCGGAATAGTGTTTTTAATTTTTATTTTATTTATTTATTTATTTTGGGTGGGGATGGAACAACTCTCAGAAGTCAGCATATCTACAAATTTAAGTAAAATCATCTCAAACTGTAGTAATAAATATGTAACATTTCATTAGAGATTGGGAAGATTATAAAGAACTATGCATATAATAACATCTAATAAAATTTTGTAACTACATAAATATATATTTATAGAGTCATCAAAGTTCATCGCTTTTAGATTCTAAGTATACATATTATATAAATTCATCATTCATTAATAGTATTATATATAGTAATAGAAAAATAGTATTAATGTTTCAAATTGTAATTTTTTAATAATTTCTCTTGCATTTGCTGTATATTTGTTCAAGATTTATGGATATCAGTTACATAACATGAAAAATACACAGAAACCAGCTAATCTTATATTACAGCTGATTGTGAAGGAACAATTACAGTGCTCTTAATTACAGTTATAGTGCTTTTAAATCTCCCTACGGTAAATAGCTGTTTTCTAGACATTAGATTAAATTAATTCCATTATCCATTAGAAAATAATTACAGTGAATTATATCTATTGAAGACATTTCTAAGAGGTCACCTTTTGAAAGAAACCTGTATTTTTTGTGAACATAAACAAACATTGCCAGTGAATATCACATTTCTAAGATCACCATATCTACAACCAAAATCCTTTAAAACCATGAACGGTTGCGTTATAGAGGGCTCGCTATATTTTTAATAAAACATGTACATCTTCGTTATACACTTGCTACATTTTGATTTTCTGTCAAAGCACAGGAACAGGCGTTCTATTTTTATTTAGAAGTATGTGAAATTGAAAAAAAAGACACTATATGACAAAAATGGAATTACATTCAAACACACACCTCTTGAACATGTCTGAAATTCATTATTCTGCTCAGAATAAATTTATCTAAAGAAAATGTTTAATAAATATTAGAACACAAAGGCTAACTTAGGTCAAAGTAGTAAGGGTCAGTTCGTTTGAATAATATCTTTTCTTAATCATAATGTGACTTTTCGAACATCGAATGAAATGGGAAAGACAGAATAAGTGCGAATGGCAGCAGACGAACGACACTATTTCAAACTCGGCATGAAAAGAGAACGGACGAAATGACACTAAGCCAAGGGAAGGCATGCCTTCGTGGAGGACATTTTAAAGGAAACTCGCTCGTACACATGTTACGCAAGGGGAAAACCACGAAAGTGCCCATGCTGTCAGCCTTTCCATCGGAATTTAAACCCCGGACCGAGCTACCAGTGTTCAGCGCTTGGCCACTGGTGAGCCTTGTGCCTACATGAAAAGCTTAACAATTGGATGACTGACACTTTCTTAATATACAGCTTTTATTTTATTTTTTATTAATTCTTATTCATCTAACTAATTATTTATTTTTTTAGATATTTTAACTTTTTCCCAGATTTATTTTCAAAGAAACAATGTCTAGAAAGTTTTGCGAATCGAAAATAAATGATTAAGTCTTGGATGAGATACATTTTACCAATCAAAAAAATGTTTTCACGTTTAGAATGTAATATATGTAAGTTGTTATGCATACTGCTTATCTTAACAAGTGCTCAAAATTGTTTTCTCTTTTGAAATCAATAGACATTTTTTCATGAAACTAACCCCAGTAAAACGTAGAATTTTATTTAATTTTATTCAAGGTAATAAATTAAATAGAGGAATTCAAGATCAGTCTAACAGGCTTTCTCAGAAAATTAACTTACTGGCGCACTTAACGTAACAACCACAAATGGCTAATCCCTGACAGCAGAAATCGACGTAGCCAGTTCTCGCATTCCCTTTCAATCGCAAAAGCTTAGCCTTAAATACTCTTAACTCATTTGCATCCTAAACATGTTTACTTACTAATTTATTTACATTCGGGTGAGGAAGCGGAAAGTAGAATTGATAGTACAGACTGAAATAATACATAACAATATAGTGAGTAGGTGAGCGTCACCACTGACCTGGCCTTAGCCAAACACTGTCAGGCTAAGATATAGTATAGTATTTTCTCCTGCCTTCGTGGTGTAATGGTTAGCACACTCGGCACATATTCGAGAGGTTCAAGTTAGAGTCCCGGCGAGCAAATTGCTCATTTTTCACGTCTCCAGCATGACGCCTGAACTAAAAAAAAAAAAGGTGGCGGCTGATGATTCTTCTCCACCAAGATTTGACCATTGGGTCCCCTAATACCCAGCTGTCTTTAAAAGTGGGAGTATATAAGGTATTTACTCCCTTCTTCCAGAATGCCTTCATGGTATAACGGTTAGTACAATTGGCTCGTATTCGAGAGATCCAGGTTCGAGTCTCAAAGAGGGCATTGCTTATATTTCATGTCTTCCGCACACACACACACAACAACAACAACAACAACAAAAAACCTTATGACTACAGTAAGAACTAAAGATTGTATTTAATTCAACTTGGCTCGGTCTAGACCAGTGTTTCTCAACAGTTCTTCCCTCATGTGCTCTTTTCACCATTGCTAAACGATCATTCAACCTCTCCTTCCTAAAGCTTGAAAAGTACATATGCGTTTGTTTAAACATGGATTATTTTTAATGTAAATCAAAGTATGAAACTTGTTGGTAAATACCAAAATTTGAATAAAAGTGCTTTTTCATAATCATTAATTAAATCTAGATACTTAATACATAAAGAAAAGGTTGACTAAATTACTCTCTAAAACTGTGAAAATTCCCTTAGGGCTATTCCTGATTGAGGACCCATTGTCTCAGACAGAATTAATTTTTAATAGTGACTGAATGTACAGATAATTTAATTTGTCATACTTCTCTTATACTAACTTCTGTTATATAAAACTTCGGATTACGTGAAAGCTTTTTTGAAAATAAAAGACACAAATTTAAAAAAAAATATATGTTTAAAATTTGATGTTGAATTCAAAAACAGTTATTTGGTAGCCAGACCTAATAAACCTAAGAGATCAAATTTGAAGTACACCTTACTTGTTCTTACTAACTTCTGCTTAATGAATTAGAATTATTCTTAGAAAAGAACCTTAAAAACTGGTGAAACATTTCATGCTAGAAAACAAGATATTAGAAACTTTGAACTCATTCAATAGAAGAAAAAAGTTATTCAAAACGTAACTCCATAACAAAACATTTTTTTTCTACTTGATCGTCAACACATGAGGCTTTTAAGAAATACCTCCTACAAGATATGTGGCCACTATTTCTGTGCTGTCAGAATATGAAATTCGTATAAGGAAATCAATGCACTTCGAGGAGAAGAAAATGACCTTAATTTGATAGTTTTTCTACCTAATAAATTTTTACATGTTATGAGTTTCTTTTTCTTAATCTAGGCGAAATAATATTCAACACATAATAACAGCATAAAACCCACAAAAGAAGTGTTCCAGTGAATTTTCAGTTTCTAAATGCTGTTTAAATTTGCTTCAATCAAAGTTTTTGTATATAAATAATTACGGTAAATTGAAATGAACTGTTTTTTAAGCGTTTACAGTTAATCGAGTAATATATATATTTTTTTTTTGAAATAAAAATTATTTTTAATGTGCAAGATTACTTTTCTTACAACGCTGGGCTCATGGATTCTTAAATCCTCTTGTTGCTTGAGTTCAGAA